GTAGTGGAATTGCTGGGTCAAATGGTATCTCTATTTGCAACTTTTTGAGAAAGCGCCATACTGCCTTGCACAGTGGTTGCACAGTTTTCCACTCCCACCCACAGTGAATAAGGGTTCCAGTTTCTCCACAACCTCGCCAGCATTTGTTGCTTGCTGTTCTGTTAAATTTTGCTATTCTGACTGCGGTGAGATGGTATCTCCTCGTTGTTTTGATTTGCATCTCTCTCAGAGCTAGGGATTTTGAACATTTCCTCATGTGCTTGCTGGCCATCGGAATGTCTTTGGTGAAGTGTCTGTTCATATTCTGTTCCCATTTTTCTTTTGGATTATTTACCTTTATCTTTCGGTGGTGAAATTTTTTTTAAAGCATGTTTTTAAATTGCCTTTTGGAAACAACAGCTTTGATGCAATACGGCAGAAGGTCAATGAGAATAAACAGACAAGTGTTTCTCTTGGGTTGTGGCAGGCTGGCTTTCCCATGGGATGTTTTGACGCATTCAGCACTAAGATGAACAACTCTGACGGCTTCGTTAGCTACCTTCACCAAAACATGTTTACGCCAAGATAACCAAACCTAGTCAGTCCCTGACCACCCAGTGAGTCATACAGTCTCCTTTTGCAAGGGTCCCCAAACATGCTATGAGTTGATTTCAACATGAGAGCAATTTCTGACTGCGTTTCTATATCTCAGCATCAAAATGTATTTGTTAAGCTAGTACAGAAACGGTCATCATTGCTTACCTTGTCAAGTGCTGAATGCTTTCAGTGATCTCACGGAAAATCCACCAGAACTCAGCCCACAGAGGCTGTTGTGGGCTCTTTGCTTTCTTAAATGTTATTATTCTGTGTGCGTGTAATGTCAAATCAGATCTCACTGGTCCTGGAGGAAATTGTCCCGCCTTCTCCGGCAGAGCATCTGGTGGATTCGAACCGTGTCCCTTTGGGATTGCAGTACAGCTTCTTGCCACTAGGGCGGGCTCTTTTTCCAAGCGTGGCCTTCTCACTCTCCAACATGCTCCTGGTCTCGCTTTAAGCCTCAAGACTTCACTGGAGTCCCAAACCGTGGGCTTGTGACCACCAAATACTTCAGACCCGGGAAGGCGTTTTCCGCAGCGAGAGATCAAAAGGCACCAGTTGTTCTGAGTATGAACAAAGGGAAGAATCCTTAAAAAAAAGGTTTAGAAGCCTTTTTCGTACTATCATGGTACCTGTTGAAACCATGAATGATACCTGAGTCTCTTGTTGCATTCAAGATTAAAATGGCATTCCTCCTTGGTTAGCAAAAGTTATCTGTTCAGCAGTAGCAACGCCTCAGAGTTTGAGAGAAATGCAAACTTAGAGATTCCTGTCTGCCCTGGGGGTCGTGAACCAGGATATAAATACCCCCACAGCCGGCCCCGGCAGATAGGCAGTCATCAGATTCCCCTAGTTCCCTTTTTCCCGTTATTTTAAAATACAGTGTCCGTTTTGTCCTTGTCCACCAGCACTTTTAAGCAACCATGTGTGTCAATGTCTACGGTACTCGGGTAGAAAGGGAACGTGCAACTTTGCTCATTTTCCAGGTGCAGTGAAGGTCTGCTTATCCTCTGCGTGGTCAGACTTAAAGGAATGTTTTTACCAGGACCCACAACTTGGTTGATGCCGGTGACAGAATTTGGTTTGCCACAACTGAGGAGGACCTGAGGCATTTGCTACAGGGGGTCAAGGGCTGTTGTCTTCAACACAGATTGAAACTCATCCGTCCAGAAGACAAAGATTCTCACCATGGAGCCAGGGAGCAGCATTGTGATAAGACAAAGAAGAGATTGAGATTGATGACAGCTTCCACTTGATCAGCTCCACAGTCAGTACTCTTGGCACCTCAGCCAGGAAATCAAAAAGATGAGTTGCATTGGGAAGGTCTGCCGTGAGGGACCTCGCCAGAGTCCTGAAGAGCAACGATGGCAGTCTCGAGACTAAGGTGCAGCAGATGCAGGCCGTGGTCTTTCCAGTGACTTGGTCTGCATCTGAGAGCTGTACAGTGACGAGAGATGTTAGAAAGAGAATTGATGCTTCTTAGCTGTGGTGCTGGAGAAGAGTCTTGAAGATATTGCTAAGAGAACAAACAGGTTCATCCTGGAGAGGGTAAAACCAGGCTGCTCCTCGGAGGCAAGGATTCTGAAGCTTCATCTGACATACTTTGGGCATATTGCAGAGAAGGACCAGGCCTAGGAGAGGGACATTATTATGCATTGGGGGTGTGTTGGAGGGACAGCTCAGGAGAGGGTACCCAAGCTGAGATGAATTGACTCAGTGATTGGGGGAGTAGGAGGTAGGTGTGTCGAAGACAAGGAAATTGGCCCAAGACAGAGCAGGGTTCAGAGCTTTTGTACTTGAGATGGTATGCCTCACAGGCAACTTGAATGCACCTAACACCATTCAGTGCAGCGCATACAGCCCCAGTTCACCAACAGATCCCGGGAGACAGACAGACAGGTTGCATTTTGCAGCTCCTAGAAGCTTGGTTTTGTTTTGTGGTTTTTTGTTGTTGTTTTTTTTTTTTAAATTAGGCTTGTTTCCTGCTCCAGTACAAGTAGCTTGCCCTCACACTTTGTAATGGTCAAAAGAGAAGTGCCCTTGAGCTACGAGAGAAATGTGTCCACTGTAGAGGCTGCAGCCTTTTCTAGCTTCAGTGCGTGTAACCTTGGCTCCGGGAGGAAGCCCCATCCCTGACTGTGGATAGCCCCGGGGAGTGATAGCCT